ATTACATAGAAAATCAATGTAAAATGATCCGTAGATGTTTCGAATTTAGTTTTCCTGCTTATCTCTTGTGTAGATGAGATAGTTTATCTATTTAGCCAATGACGAAAATATTATAGTACATTAATAGAATGCTTCTTATTTCAGGTTTCGACAGATTCCCAGAATCATGTAAATTAATAGCCGAAACCGGGGATACAAGCAAATGTGTCGATGAACCTTATAGGACGAACTGCTACAAAACTTGCCGCACAGGCCCGTGCGCATAACCATCAWRCAGGAWGAYAGGATATATGTATAACTGAAAGTGCTCTGAATAAACTGGTAATAAGGGTCATTTTTGTCTCTTTTTTCATCAACAGATTTATTTAATTTTGCTTAAGTTTTGCTTTGTATAGTTAACACTTCCACGCGAGACAGCAAAGCATGATGGATAAATAGGAGTCTTTACGCTCTTGTATGTCCTTTAGAACCTATTTTTCCAGTTTTTTTCTCAGAAGAGCACAGTATCATTAGGTTTTGCCAAAAAAATGACTATTTAACGATCGTTTTAAACGTCCAATGATCCCTTCCACCGTCGTCTTTGCAATTAAAATACCTGGGGACAATACTAAATGAACAGTTATAAAGCCTTTGAGCAGTCTTTATGGTATACGGTTGGACTCCTTAATGACATTGTGCTCCGAGCCCCGGGGTTTCAGTATAAATTCATTTCGTAAAAAAAACTATAATAAACAACGTTTCTAATTGTTAATAAACTTCCTATAAAGACAAATTTTACCAACTGCCATGCATGCGGGCATAAAACATTTTATATCCCCCATGATGACCTCTAGAATTATCTCACGGTCCTCACCTAAAATCGTGATTGACAATAAAATGGTATCCCTGCATGGAATCAAACCGGCAGGCTATAAAAYACTCTGAAACAATTGTACATTTGCATTCAAACAAATACAGAAAACCATTTCGCTTCACTTTGGTCAAGTTAGTTGTTAAACRTGTGTTATGAGGTTAATTCCTTCTTTGTTGTGTATAATCACCAAGCGTTGTATTAATTGTTGTACGAATAAGCGACTAAGATTAGCTGACATACAATCAAATGGAGTCAGTGATTGCAAAAAATATTGAGTTTGTTCTGATTATGTCAATAAAATGCACCCCCCACTTCCACGACAACTTTATCGCGAATTGAAATGACCTAACGCCCTCGGTCAATCTAGTCACCAGCTTGTGTGAAAAAAAAAGTCGGACTAGAATAAGATTAATTACGCATGCCCACTGGGAGCCTACAACGGTAGAGTTGTTGTTTAACTAGAAAAAATCTACAAAATATAGTAAACAATAGATYCATATGGCTGACACGCACATGATGTAACAAGCAATAGTCTTGGACCACAACCATTTGAAACATCCTTACTTATTCCATTTTTTTATAACATGAATGAAAATAACCTTGAGCTTTGATCTAAAACGAGCAATTCCTGSTTATTCATAGCGTCATGCCTAAGGGGTTGCAAAGCTCTAACTTATGGCCTAGGGATTTTGTTTTGTCCTKACGAAATCGAGCGTGCAACCAAGCGGCGTGGTTGATGCGTTATAAAACGGGACATCCAACGCTGAAGCCTTCACATTCACTTRAAGTTTCAGGAGAAAGAAAGGTAAATCTAGCGGAATTATAAAAAGGTAAGGTCGGTAAGGACTCCAGTATTTATCAACACAAGTTTCAAATCTTCTTCTTGTAATTCCCTAATAAGGCTCTTGTACACACAAATTTCATTTTTTTACGCTTCGTAAACATGCCAAATAACTACTGAGAAAATGTTCGGCTAAGCTTCCTCGTTSTTATACCTTGAAGGCGTTACCACACATTGCATCTCAGTTTATTTCTTAAATTCAAAGTAAATTTCACAAAACAAAATCCACGTTCAACTCGCAAGATTTCTGAAAATAGATTTTTTACAGGTATAGCCATGTGTTCACGAATTTCTTTCTCGTAGTATTTTCACGTCCGTTTTCAGATATAAAAAAAATATTATCACATATGAAAGTCTTTTATACCAGTTTTAAGGTGTTAGTGATAACGTACAGTTTTTATGCCTATATCATTGTTTCCATGKCAACATCAATAAAGTATTCAAAATACACAGAGCTAAAGCCTTCCACCCCCCCAGTATTTTCGAAAATTAAAAACACAACATGAACACAAAATTGAACACAATATTCAATACTCTTCCCCCCTTCCCCCCAGGCCAAAAACGCTGCATCGCCCCTATGTACACAGTGATTTCATAGTTTTTGTTCATTATGTAAAACGAGTGTATTCGCAGTAACATGCAGGTTTTGGTGTTGCAAGGTTAAGGGGGCATAAGAAGCATGATTGTTTTGATGTTGTATCTACAGGTTACTTACATYCATCATGTACGGAGTTCTTTCTTTGGGTGTTCTCTTGGTGTTTCTAACAGGCAGTATTTTCGCTATGAGTATCGTGAACGATGATCTGAACAAGCGAGAAGAATGTAAGAAATCATCATTCTAATGTACCCCCCCCCCCCCCCCCCCCCCCTGCAATCAAAACACGTACAATAAACGAGTTTACCACACCTTTCCAGTGAAAAGTTGCACTATGGCCACTATCGATGAAATGTTGACCAATAATAAAAAGCTCTTTTTGCACGTAGGCAAAGACTTAAAAAKCACATGGGCATGTGAATCATGGAAGAACGATTGCACCAGTGGTCCTTGGATGAACTGGATGGCAGATAACTGCAAAAAGACGTGTAACAAATGCCCCACTGTCCAGGTTACTCCCAAGCCAGTCAAGCCGCCATCAGTCAAAGGCCAATGTAAGATCCTCAGTCTAMAAGAATGCTTTGAGTACCAATCGTTAACAATTAGTTTCGCGCACCGAGAGCGGTTTTCTAATATATTTCGAATGCTCAGTTTTAAGATTTATAGCTTAGATCTTTTGATTAATTCTTTTTGTATTTTTAGGTGAAAAAGAAGACAAATTCGGTTGCGAACAATGGGAAAAACAAGGATTATGCAAAGAACAAATGTATCGTCAATTCATGAATAGTAACTGTCCTGCTGCATGTGGTCTGTGCCAAGCAATTGAGCAAAAAGCAGAACCAGGTGATTAGTCGCTTGTAGTCCTACTCCAGTTAGGATCATAGGTCAATCACTTTAGAAATTTATTTATTTAGCTCATTTACTGCATCACTTATTCCTCTATGCAATCCTTACAGTGCCTGTTGACATGCAGGAATGCCTACAGGCCCACAATTCCTATCGTGCTGAACATGGTGCACTTCCACTAGCATGGGACTCAAAATTGGCAAAGGAAGCTCAAGATTACGCCATGGTCTTAGCTAAAGTYCATAAAAAACTGAAGCACGCTCAAGGCATCTCTGATGGCGAGAACTTGGCGTACCAGGGTGGGSCTAAACTCACGTGTAAGGAAGCCACAAAGCGTTGGTAAGTCATTCGAGGGGATAGGGGTGGGGATATTTAAAAGTTCACTACTAGACGAAAAAAAATCAATATGACTTCAAAAAAATGTTTTTTATGAAAACTGAAACGACATCTTCATAGCATAAACAGAGAGATATGTAATTCTGTAATATCGTTGTACAAATATGTAGACTGGGCAATTGATATGTGTTTGTGTTGTATTCACGTGAATGTTTTTGTGTGTGATTGTCCCTTGGGAAAGGCAAGTTTCGGGATAAAAAGCATGGTCGTGTTTGAGAGAGTGTGATTTTGGGGCTGGTTTGTACTGCCAGAGAGTCGTCGAGATTCGGTCTCTGAGAAGTGTGCCTAAAGACGTTAGCTAACCTCCCGAACTTAGAAGTATAAAGGACATATCTGTAGTCTGTTACATAGAAGAATAAAGGACACATTTATCTGCGATTTGTTACAAATACTTTGTTCGAAGTACATTTCTGAAAAACAATACACTATCAAGTTCTTGCATACATGATCAGTCCTTACGGTCTGGTTTCTTCATTAACATCCATGTTCTTTGCAACAGGTATGACGAGGTGTCTATGTACAACTATGATAACCCAGGATTTTCTMTGTCTACCGGGCACTTCACTCAGGTAAAGTCAATATTGAAAAGGTGGTTTGCCACTGTGGAATAGACTTGAAGTCAACAAAAAGCCTATTTGAATAAGCCTTTTTTTAAATTTTAAATTTTAAAGTGATATTAAAAATGCATATCAATAGACCTTTTCTGAAATTCAAAATCACATTGCATTGTGGTCTAGCTTCAGTACAAACAACGCCATATTTAGCGAATATATATAGCGGCATAAACAAAAAAATGTTTGTACCGAATCTAGACCACAAAAAGCAATGTAAACTGCTATCTCAGAAAAGGCCTATGCAAACAGATAAAATCTAATTTCCCTGGGAAATAGAACTGACCCACAGCTTTGCAGTCTTCACTGTTCCTTAATATTTATACTACAGTTGCATGGASAATACTAACAGAATTTTGCTTTTTTACTGGTAGGTTGTATGGAAGGCTACCAAGCGTCTTGGTGTTGGTATTGCTCGATATGGACACAAGTATTATGTTGTAGCTCGTTACTCTCCTTCAGGGAATTWTAGAGGAATGTTTCGTCAAAATGTTGCACCAAAAGTATAAGATATTATGGATATCAGCTTGTGTGGTTTTTGTGGCTTGTGGTTCAWAATGAGGCTCTAGTAACTATGCCACTTTTTGTGTGAAGTGCGTGTAAAGGCTGATTTACATGGTACGATTTGTCGCGCGCGACTTGTAGTATACGATTTTCCTACTACAAGTCGTAGGATTTTAAGCAGTGGTTCAATATCCTACTACAAGTCGTAGGCTGCGTACGACTGTTGTAGACAAGTCGTAGGGGCATTTACACTGCGCGATTCAAGTCGTATACTACAAATCGCACGAGACAATCGTGCCGTGTAAAACAGCCTTAAGTTGTTAATTGGAATATCTTTGTGATTTCTGACTACTTTTTAATGTGATTACTCTCTTTGGACTTCTGAACCTTTTACGTCACTACTTCATTTGCAATGCATTGTGGGATCAGTTTCAAGAGAAAACAAAAGATATTCCGCTGTTTTGTCCCAAACATATCCTACAATGCATTTCCTATATGGTACATGACGTAAATTATGCTTCAAAGGTCTATTTTGGCAATCTTTATCGATGGCATTGTAGTAAGTTTATGCCAATTTCATGTGTAAATCTGATTTTAATAAATGTCAATAAACATTCATCAAATCAAACTGTATTCATGACATTAGCAGTAAAAACTCTTCCTATTCCTATTCTGTCTTGTTCTCAGTACAGGAAAAAGAAACATGCCATAAACTAAGATCTCCAGCATGAGCATCACAGAAAGTATTTCCTGGGGAAAGGGGGGGGAGGGGAGGGGAGGGGATAATTATGGATATCATGAAAATCTGAAACCTTTTTATACATTTTCACTTACAAAACTTGGTTTATTAGCATATTGCGAATATTCACTAATATATACAATAAAAAATAACCTTTATCACCCCCTATTTTGTACTTTCTAACAAGTCCTTAGCTTCATTTATTTTTGCTGCCAAGTATGGAGACCCCCCTGAAACAGAATTGAAAAAAAATAGGTAAGGAGCCACATCCTGAAATAATGGGAGAAATCAAGTTCTTCAATCCCTTCATACAGTTGTTATTTGGTCTCAACCACTAATGGCGCTGAGACATGAGAATGAGACAAAATATGGCCATAAGAGGAGATTATTAATTAATACTTTGATATACACATTTTACTCTACCTCTATCTGGATGGTTAATTAACATAATTCTTCTGTGTGCTTCTCGCATTTTAGCTCTGTTAGCTGAAGGGCTACAAACAATAAACACAAAAAATATCATCTTCAATATTTTTTTTGCAATCTTTTTACATTAATAATAATAATAATTTATTTACTTAATAGAGCGCTTTTTAACAATTAAAAGATCAAAAGCGCTTTACATGATAAATCAATAAAATATCTCTATATATATACACTATATGAATATGAATAATTACAATAAATATAAAGCTCTAAAAAGAAATACAAAACAAAATATTAACTGCARCAAGCAAATACCTACCTTACTCCAAGAATTAGCGCAGCTTCTCTTTTTGTCATTTTTGGGTCAAATCCACCGCGGTAATAATGAGAAAATGTCTGTCAAAAAATGATGGAAAGTTATTAGAAATAAGACAGATTTATCAAAGTCCAGGACACTTCACTGACTGGGATCACTGACAAGAAGGACTAGTGGAACACTGGAATTGAATTCTGAATGCCTCGTTTGAATAAAAAACATAGTTTGTGTACATTGTCTAACTTTATGTCTAGTGGTCTATGATGATGATCATAGAATCATACTACTGCAGAATGATTGATGTCAAGTCACGTGGTACATGACAGACTCAAGATAAATATTATATAGTAGAAAACTTACAGGAATTTTAGGTATAACTTTAGGTATTGTATTAACATCGATTCTTTTAATTGCTTGTGCCGCAAAACGTGCTAAAGAAGAAACCATGTCAATGATAATAAACCATAAAGTGCCAAATAATCTTCATAGAAAACATCGTACGATCATGTAATAGAGTTCTCTCTTACCAGCCATCGCTGCTCCGGCTACTCCAAGACCTGCTAAAATTAACGAAGTCTGACGGAGGAAAAGAAAAGTTAGTTTAGCTTGGATAAATAGCTAAAAATCGTCACGAATYTGAACGACACTCACCATGTTTTATTTCTCGTACGTTTTGAAGGAAGTGACGCAATACTTCCCATGATCCTTCACTAAATAAACCCAGGATGCACCGCACTTCTGGAGTTGAATTGTAATGTTTTCCCAAAGGGTTAAACTTGTCTAAAACTTGCGTTTTCCTTCTTTTTCGGCTTTTATTCAATTCAGTTTTCGCTTTGTGTTTTTTCTTTCTTTTTATTTATTCTATTAGTGTTTGYAGAATGTACTAGTATTTGCGCAAAAGCTGTGTTAGGACATTAGCTGAATTTGTATAATTGAACATAACTTAATTGAACTTATAAAAGGCAAAAATATCATTGAAAATAATATTTTTGAAATATAGGAGGTTATGTTTTGTTTGTAATACCGCTGATTTTGGTACCACTTCCGTTCCGTCATCCGGGATATTGAAGCGTTCTYTCGTTGTCTCGCGCTCCCTCGAATCCAACATGGCTGACCTACTCGGCGATGACTCGCATTACTCTGAAGAAACGCCAGAAGATCCGGCTGCTGAATTCTTAGCTCGAGAACAGGATGCTCTAGCAGAACTGGGAGAAGACTTAGAAGGGGATGCAAATGCAGACGAGGTAAAGCAATTCGAAAATACCGAGTGAAATAAGGTTGATTCGCAACCGGTGACTTTCGAGTTGTCGGCATTCATTCGACTTTCTCGATTTCTATGACAGCGTGGATAGCTTACGTGGAACTCTAGAAGTTCTTTATCGAAAGATGAGTTAATTAAAGAACTTTTCATGGCTTGTAGTATTTGAAATATTGATTTCCAAGCAATGAAGTTAGTGTTGTATTTGTGTGTAATATTGCCTAAGTTTCGTAGAGGAGGAATTTAACTACTAGATAGGCGGGGTGGTATAGCTTGATTCTTTGATCACAGCTGTTTTTATTGTATTTTTGCTCTTTAAATCGTTAATTTACTTATTTTCAGTGTATTTGATTTACAGTACATTSTGATACCCTTATACCCCTCCCTCCTGAAGAAAATAACAGTTTATAGCATCGTAGTCCATATGCTATATGACATGAGCGATCACCATTGTGATCTACTGCACTATTCAAATGCTATACACATATATAGAAAGTCCATGAACAAAAATATAGTGCAAAAAAAACAACAACAACAACACAAAAATTAATCAATTTGGTGCTTGAAATTGCATTATGGTGACGTCCTTGTAAAGCTAATTTAGAGGAAATTCACCTAATAAGTTAATATMATTATTTTAGTATAATGTACTTACAGCTCTTCCTCTTTTTGATAACATAAAAMATCTTATCATCAATCTCAAAACAAGTTTTTTTTACATGTTTTATACCTCACTTTTGTACAAATGGCTTGGTATCTTTAAGGAAGTTTGTTTTGCTCTCTTTGATGTGATTCACAGCAACAACAAGCAAAAAAGAAATGTGACTTCAAAACATTTGACCTATAATGATTTTAGATATGTGTGTATTTGGAAATCATAATTTGAATTGTTACCTTGCATGCACTATCTTTTCAAATACTTCAGGTTCGTTTAATGGACTTGTTGTCATCCTTTTAGTGCAATATAGATTATACAAGTGATAACTGCCATTCTCCCTCTTCAAGTGAGAGGTKTGGTTTTAATGCTTGTGTACATTTAATGTACAAAGTATTTATACTAAAGTGTTAAAAGAAATGGCGACTATTTTCAAAGTTTTTTTCTGTTTTCATTATTCTCTGAGAAGTACTGTTTTAGCCGGATTAAGTTGATGCTTTCTTGATGTTTATCAATATTGTTGTGGAGTATAAACTAATGTTTTTTTATACCCTGTAGGGAGATAACTTCGATATGTTAGGGGGAGGTTCTGATCCAGTTGTAAATGGATTTGCTGAGGTAGGTACACTCCAAACRCAATGTATTTCAAATGYTTTCAWTGAATTGACATCGCAGGCTAAAGATTTATAACCTGTACTCAATTTTGTCAAAAGGAAATATCAAATTTTTCACATTTGCCWTGTATCCAGGCATAYATGTTTRATTMTCSTGTGTAAAATAGGCATTTTATGATACTAATYTGGTATTTGTTTTTTTTTAGAGTGAAACGTCACCCATACAACAACCTGCTCCSATGTCAATACCGCAGCAAGAACCCGAATCTGTTAGGTATGTCCATAAACACTATATTGCAAGGATATATGAGCGCATGTCTAATTTCTAGTATGACGTACTTTAAAAAAGTTATATTTGTGACAGGATCATATTTGTTATCTTGCATTACTTTATAAGTCTAAATTAAAGTATAAACAAGTTTTTGTATATTTTTTTTCTTTAGAAAATGGAGAGAAGAGAAAAAAGAGCTACTTGAAAAAATGGATGAAGAAGAAAGAGCTGCCATACAAGAATGGCGAGAGCAAGCTAAAAAAGAACTTAATGACTGGTACGACAGAAGAAATGAACAACTCGGCAAAACACAATCAAGTAATAGGTATGGAATACTCTGATACACTTTGTTTTGGGGCTTATTCTTATTGCCTTTCCTAACTGCACAATCTATTCAAAACTTCAAGTCTTTTAAATGAACTTGTTGTTGTTATGTTTGTGCAATATAAATATTTCAAGTGATAACTGCCATTCTCCCTCTTCAAGTGAGAGGTTTGGTTTTAATGCTTGTGTACATAGCTATTGTATGTGTGTAAACCAAGAGGTTTCTTAGTATTTCAGCAATTAAGATGACATTGTTTTGCTTTTTAGGGCTGATGAAGAAGAATTTGTATCAGAACGTGATGATCCTTCAGCGCCAGGACATGAATGGGAGAAAGTATGCCGTGCATGTGATTTTAATCCTAAAGGAACCAAAACTAATAAAGATGTGTCTCGCATGCGCTCTATCTTTCTTCAACTTAAACAAAATCCACTTGTACGAGATTAATTACTTATAATATCAAATTTACTACATTGTGATGGATTTGTACCTAGTGAACTTTCAAAGTATATCAGGTAACTGTAAAATTATACTAAGTGTACATGTAATAGGGTTGGCGATAAGCTAAAATAGGACATTTTAGATTTTTTTTTCAAAATAATTGTTTTCAAATACTTGTTAAGTAATTTTCACTCAGGTACTACATATGCTCCAACTAATGAAGCTGTTCTTTCTGAGACTTGTGTGACGTTTTCTGTTGCAAAAGTAGGAAAAAAATTCACTATTTTTCATGGAATTGTAAGAAAGACTTTCTACAAAAAGGGTAACAATAGTATTATTATTGAGTGTTACATATCATGAAACCGTCCAGCAACAGAAATCCTCTGCAGGAATCAAAAGCTTCAAAGTGGATCAGTGAGCCAAAACAAACCTTACCTGGCATCTTCCATATCAATGTTGATTTAGCTCAGTGAGAGTGTTGTTGATCAATATCTAAATTCTCCACAAAAATCATTCATTTTCCATTTAATAGGCTTAGGAGAATTTAGGTTTTGATAATGTCTAGACTTTCCACTTAATGCTTACACAATGCTTATCTTTATTGTATGAGGAAACAGCCTAGTTTGTAATAAAAGCTGTAAACTTGGCATTAGACAAGTTGTGTTTATTTACTTCCCAAGGCCATCTATTTTGAATATTCTGCTTACTAGATGATATTTTTTAAAATATCAGGTACACAAGGTTATTTGATATGTTGTTTTTGTCTGCAATAAGACATCTGTTTATTGCTGTGATTGCCATCGTCTTTGCTTATCACTAAGTTGAGAAAGTTAAATGTTTTTAATTTGATATTGTAATGTTAGAGTGGTCTTCATAAATCTGCAAAGTATAAACATTAGACACTTTATTTCTCAATGATTTTTTTGTGTACCACACATTGTTACATTTTGACTATTAAAGTKAATTGTTTCCCTGGCTTATGAAAAGCACTCTTTTAAACCCTAGAAATGTTGTAATGGGATCCTGCACAAATTTGTGAGAATATTATTTATATAATGTTAAGTTGACGCATTCAGACTCATTACCATCACAGACTTGTGGCTTAGTCTTTGACAACTTCAGGGTTTCTCTGTCAGTGGAATTAAAAATGTTTGGCTTYTTTAAAGATCTTAGGGCAGTAATGGCTGACAGGGCGGTGTGGAAGTCTGTTGTTAGAGGACTCTCGGCCGAGGCCGAAGGATGATGATGATGATGATGAAAGAATAAGGCATGGTCTTGTCAAAACATTGTATTGAATACCGTCTGCATGTAATGTTATAATTATAATCGTCATAGAAATAAAATAGCTTCCTTTTCCAAAAGTTTATGCTTGTTTTTGTAACTCAAGGCTGACAGAAATAGAGTGACATGAAAATATGTACATCCTTTTTCAGTGTTATGCAATAGAATGACAAGTTAGACTGTATGTGGTCACTAATGCATTGCCTTTTTTTGTGCTCAATGAGTTTATTAAATAATCCACATTTATTTATAACTTTTAAACTTTGATACATTCCCATAATTCCTTCAAATATTCTTTCTAACATTGTTTTTCAATATTATTATAATGAAATTTAAAATTCTGAGTTAAAAAGATAAAAGTTACAAAGTCAAAACTAATTTCCCCTGCAGAAAAAAGCACTATGACTAATAAAAAATGTGCAGACAAACTTTTTAAAAATATACAAAATTTCCCTGTTGCTATACAAATCTTCAATGTTATAAAACACTGAACCTCAGATGTACATCATTGACTTAAAATTCATTTTATGTCCTAAAAACATACTAAAATTGTAAATGCCAGAAATGGTTGAAGCAATCTGTTCCACTGAACAAAATGAATCTGATAGCTGCGAAGTATTTTTTTAGAGAATCAAAGTACACTGTTGATCAGTAATTTTGTGAAGTTATTAACATCTTGCTGTGCCAGCCTAAATCATAAAATGGATCTTCAAAAACTCTTTCAATTAAAATTGGTCATGAATTTTTCTCATCAAGTCCACCAACAGCACGTAGACCAGTCAGAAATGATTCTCTTATCCTTACAATGAAATAATATAGCCAGTTTGACAAGAAATCAATAACGCGCCATCGACCACGTGACGTGATGATGTAATCAGCAATACTGGAACGTGGGAATGCTCTTAAAATATCATGCTGAAAGTGAATAAGAATTGTTATGATTATTAAGTGAAATTGTCTTGAAATTATTGTTTTAAGATTATAAGAGGATACAAGGAAAGATTAGTGAAAGAATAAATGGATGGATGGGATTATTGGTGGATAGTCAACTTAAAAACTATTGTACTATTGATGCATGAATTGACTTGTAGCCTCAATTAAAGAAAATTACATGTATATATTCACATGAGGGGATGTTGCCCTCAGCAGCAATATCAAGCAATTTACACGATTTTTTAAAATATCCTCCGCTAAAAATTGTTTTATTACATTATTCAATTCTTTCACTTGCATGGGCTTCCTGTGGTGAAGTAATTTAAATGATGGAAATGGAAAATGGGATGARTGAGTTTGATGAATGAAAGAATGAATGGATAAACAATAATGAGTAGAAAACATCAACAAACGAGATGGATATGGGAGGAGCTTTTGAAGTGTTATCAACTTATTAATTTAAAGTACTTTGTTTATTTTTATACTCCATTGAAATGCAAATGCGAGTAGTGCCACAATTCTAACTAGAACCTAGAAGTACATCAGATTTAGTCGACAAAATTAGACTTTATATACTACCGTGACACAAGCGGGAATCCCTTCAGTGCCCCTTAGTGATTTTTACCACCCCTAAATTGAAGTGAAACCGGAGAGAAGCAGAATGYAATAATTAAATAATACTAGCCCTTGATGWGTGGATTACTGGGATTAACACGTTTAACTACGAAAAGGATTTTTATTGAGTACTTATTCAATAAAAATGTTTTTTATTATATCACAACATGAAATTCATTCATGCAACGCGTGACGTAAATCTATACCGACTGGATGTTGCACTTGTCGATTTCACTTTCAACGTCACGATGATTTTAMTCAGTTCAAAATGTAAACAAATCTCTTTTTTCGTGTGTACAAAAGGTTTCCAGTATGACCAGATACTAACGCCTGATAATCTTAGTTAATTATTGAGCTACCACCAAAACTTTTAATATTAAAAGTATATTTTGCCATTCTATATCTTACCCATCCTCCTCTTCGTTTGATCCAGTCAACCAAATGCATCGCCGTAAGTTCGTACATCCAATTCGATAGTTCACTGACGAAAACACTTCTACTATCTCTGTAGCACTCGGTTGCAAGTGCACCAGCAAACTGAAAGACAGCAACGATTCTGGCCCAGTTAACTCCTTCAGATACAATCTCTGAACCGACACGAGTAAACAAATCGTGTACAACCTCATCGCTAGTAAAGGAAATGTTTACATGTTTTGAAATATCAGTGTATAATCTTGGATAACACTCCTCTAACATCCAACCAACTTCTTGTACACGTGTTGAGATTGTCGACCAGTTTTCTCCAAAATCTTCAAGGCCATTTGAAGGTCGAGAGCTGCGTTTCAGTCCCTCCCTTTCGAGCTTTGAATCCACGTATTCACAACAAAGCTGTCTCCCTTGATCAAGTATTCTAGAAGCATATTTATCCTGCTGTAATTGGACTATTCGTCGCGTCAGTTTGATTTTGTGACTGCTGGACGAAGCACTACCAGCCATATCAATCCAGCTTAGTCGTTTCTTTGTTAATGTTGGTCGTTGCAGTGTTGACATGATACAATTACAAGCCTTCACAGATTTGAATTTACCAAGAAAATATGAAAGTAACTGTATCCACAGGTGGTARATTGGTCGCGGCGTGAAAATCGGTCTTGCAAAGTTGTGAGGACACTTTATGGTAATTTTCGTCTAGAAATTGACTTTCTCTCGAWTGATATTTACAAAACACCAGAAAACCAGTCATCCAATACGCTCTGCTATTTGTCAGTTCGAGTGTACTTGATAAACGATGTTGACCTGAATGCCTCTCGACTCTGTTTGTTACCCAGATGACGTGTCACGCCAGATAATGTGTGACATCATGTGTCACAGTTCTAATGTGCATAAAAAA